TTTTTTTTTTTTTTTTTTTTTTGGGGTGGTGGTGGCGTCGCTTCTTTGGCATGGTCACCTTTATGAGGTGGGAAAAATAAAGTTTTATTTTCACACTGTGCTCAGTCTTGATATAAAAGCGTTAGAAACAGCCTTTCTAGCTCTGCTGGAAAGTGGGTCCCTAGGAATTTTCTCAAAAGATGCTAGGAGAAGATTGATTTCGATTCGTGTGGCAGTTTTTTAGCTAGTAGGGAGTGGGCAGGGGAGCTGCGCGTGTTCGTTCCTAGCTCCACGGGTACAAAATGCACAAAGAGTTTTTTTTTTTTTTTTTTTTTTTTAACCAAGCTACTCAGTGGGTGTGAGTAAGGAGGAGTGTATCTGTAAATTAGGACCATGGGAAAAGGCCAAAAGTGGACTTGTGCAGCACACCTTGCAGTTGTTGCTTGGGACAATAACTCGCGTTTCTCTACAAATTTTGGCTACCACCTGAAGACTTGATATGTGTTCGAGGTGGTAGGGTGGATAAAGTTTACGAAAAGGTAGGGTGGGTAGAAGAAAAACCCTGCAACCTTCTCTACCAGTAAAGCCTTAACACACCTGAAACAAGGTTGTGTCTAAAGATAGGGCAGATGATTTTCTCACCTGTCCAGAGCTCAAATCTAAGGATCAGAGCAACTGGATTTTACAATGAATGCAGTAACCTGGTTGGTCTGTAAGTTGATGGCTGTTGGTGTTGGCTGCTGCTTGCAGTGGATGGTATGGAAGACAATACGTAACTTTCCATAGTTTTTCTTTTCCCTTTACATGTTGGTGAGGCTGTGTTTTTTAGTATTACTTAATCTGCTGGAGCTGCCTCAGCACTAATATCTCACAAGTAGTTCACACTGCTCACTGAGCAACTTTGGCATCCGTGCAGCAGTGGGTATATATGTGCATCAAGATACATCTGTGCCAACAGGTTTGAACAACATGGTTCAGTCAGAGCAAGTTCAGCTTTGTCTGGATCCATCTGCATAGACATGCTGTAAGTATTTGTGAAACTTGATTCCAAGAAGGAAAATAAATAAAACTGGAGGGGCTAGATTTTTATTTGCTCAGTTACTGTTCATATCATAGGTTTATCGATGTTTTGTGGTCGTGCACGCGTGTTTCTGTCCTATCACACTGCCACGTGGGATATCTTGCATGACTAATGGTATGTTTCTTACTTTACAAGTGCTCTGCTTTGAGATGCTGGGACTGTGCTTGCCTAACTATGACTGAAGATTCCAAGGCCATGCTTTGTGAACACTTAAAGGAAATACTTCAAAAATCAGGACCAAGGTATCTCAGGCTTGTGGATGTTTGTTATCTCAGTCTGTTCCAGTTTCTCATTTATAAATGACAGTGTATTTTTTTCTTTGCTTTATAGGAAGTTATGAAAATAAAACCATTGATCTTTGGAATGCTCAGATGCTGTTGCAGTGTTTGTGAGAAAATATATTCCTTTATATTCAAAATAGAATCAAGTAGTGCACTGTAAGTTAAGCAGGTCATACCTTCAGTAATGAGAATAGGCAATGTAGCAAATAACTGTTCTTCCAGTGAATAAATCTGTCCTATGCATGGAAAAACAAGAATCACTACTGTGGGTCACACCCGTTCTTCACCTTTTCTTATCCATGACATTGACTAGTCTTGGATATATCAGCGGAAAAGGAGAGGCTACAGAAAGCAGATGTGAGGTAATATTTTCCCACAAATGTCCCATCCAGATCATTAACGGTTCGATATAAGCACTGGAGCAATAGTTTAATATAGCCTCAAATTTTGTTACTGAGATAGATGAATGGTCGTTATACTGGGATAAAAGTTTAATATCTCTATAGCATTAAAACTCTGTAATGGCAGTCAGTGGCAGAGTAGCATGTTGAGTTGTGAATTACATAGAAACATATTTATTTTTATTTTTTTCTTATCTATTTATTTCACTGACTATCCTCTTGTTCTTTGAGACATGAAAACAGAAGTTCCTGTTTTTTACCTTCTCTGTACCATTCATTATTTTATATACTTTCATCATGTCTGCTTTCAGAGATAAAATTTTTCACTCTTCTCAATCTCTTTTCCTATGAGAATTATTTCCAGCTTTTGATCATTTCCTTGGTTCTCTCCCAGGTCTGTTTAGCCTTACAATATTCCATTTTTCCATAAAGGTGACGTGCTGCATGCAGTACTCTAAGCAAGGTTATGCCTCTGATTACAGTATATATGTATTTGATATTACTCCCTGACCTATTTCTTATGGAATCCAACATGTTAGGCTTTATCTTTGGCTGCTGCTACATACTGAGCACGGAGCTCTATCAACATTGGAGGTTATGTAGCTTGTTTGAAGTTTCTCTTCTGCATGGTTTCATATTCATCTCAGTGCTGAATTACTTTTGTTGTTGCATTGTTCATTCCTGTACAGAAGTCACACTGAAGTTACTCACAAATCTCCCTTTTCCCAAATATGTTTTTGATAGCTGCAGACTCTGAAACCTCACTGTTCTTTACCTGTCTCTTTTTCTCTCTCTCACTGGTCTGATATATTAAGAACACTGGACTGAGTATAGGACACAGAAGCACCCTGCTGTTAACCTTTTGTCATAATAAAACCCAACCATTTAATCTTACACTTTGATTCTCTTGCTCCAGCCAGATACTCATTCATGACAATCGTTTGTGTTTTTTCCTCTAGCATATTCTTAGTTTCTGCAGTAGCTCCTTATATGGAACCTTGTCAAAAACATTTTGGAAATCTAAATAAATTATACCAACCAGCTGTGCTCCCATAATTAGAGCTCACTTTGCCACCTTTGTGCAAGGGCAGAAAGGGTAAATCAAAGTCATGAAGACAATCCTAAGATTATAGAACTTATGTGCATAATAGCCTCTGCAACTTGAACATGGTTTTCACTTTTTTTTTTTATGTGGGCATTCTTGTGGTTGCCAAAGATCAAACAAGAACAGAAGCCCCAGGAATTCCTTATGTAGAATCACACTGACTTCTGTGGTGTAGCATCAGGTTTGCAACCTTTTGGTTCTCAGTATGGACGCAGCTAACAGGCAGTAGTTATCACTCCTGATGAGGGTCGGCCGCTGGTGGTCTCTGTGCTTGCCGCTGTGGTTTTGAGACATTGACTGACAAAGAGGAGCAATGTCTTCTCTAGCAGGTTCTAGTGCTGAGTCTCTGCGGCCTCCTTCAGCTCCTCCCTGTGCTAGCCCTTGCTCCCTCATCTCCACATGGTCCTCCCCATGTCTGTGCCTCATGGAAATAGAATATTATGATTACTGTAGAGGCAACCTAAGTGTATACAGTAATGTTCGTTATGATGATGAGACAATGCAGAAACTTCATAAGTGGCATAATCAATGCTCCGAAACTAAAAGCTCTGCAGCCTCTGGGGAGTAGTTTATACAACCTGCATTAATGTAAAAGCAATTTCTTCTTCATAGTTTGAAGTCAGACCACCATGTAAAATTAAATTTTTTTTTAAAAAGTGAATTATAAGTTTAATCTTCCTTGGAGTAATAGTGTTCACTTTCAGATTTTAACTTAAAATAGAAGTACGAGTTTGACAAGGAACAGATCTCATGTATTCCTTCCGGTTATGCAGAAATTAAAATTTTTGTCCACCACAGGCACATCTCATAACTGCTTTGTCTTCTTGGTCTAAGAGGGGGGGCTCTGGCTCTGTTTTCTTTTGTGGCACACAAGTGAGAGTATCAAAATGAGCATGACAAATGGCATGATCGTTGACAGTCTCAGCTTAGCTCAAGAACTTCAGGCATGCAAGGATATAGATCCCTCTTCCTTGAAATTTGAAACTGTGGTGCAATTTATGCAATCAGTTTTTGCTTATCTGTAAGGAGTTAAGCAAGTAAAGCGGGTATGGCTGACCAAAAAAAAAATAATGTGGTTTTAGGGTTGTTTTTTTTTTTTTCTTTTTGAATTGTGGGATGCCTAACTTGCTTTTACCACAGAGTGTTCAGTGCATACGAAAGACAAGGCAGGAGGTTTACTGTGAGGTGTTCTAAGCAAGAATGGCCTCACTTAGCTAACCTTGTCTGTTTCAGTACTATAATATCTATCTTCACTTAAGGTTTTGCATCAGCAAACTATATCTAACTGTACGAAAATCACCATATAAAGCAACAAAAA